ACATATTTTTACTGTGAAGTTGGTGCATTTTCTTTTTTTGTTGTTGTTGGTTTTGTTTTGGTTTTTTTTTGAAGTTGGTGCATGTTCATATCTGACATCATTCCGTAGATATTCTAAGTGTAATATTAGTAATGACTGGATCTTGTAGCCTTTTCCAAATGCATCATTGACACCCAAAGGTATTTCGGGATTGCAGAAGGAAGAAATACATTCTGTTTCATACTTGCAGCTCTCCTTGGATTCATAGCTCACCACTAATTTGAAATAAGAGTGTGTGAACTTTTTCCTTGCTGGACTTTTTAGTCCTCTTAAACCATCACTCAAGATTGCTTTTATACAGTGTGTGCGCTCAGTGGAAGATGAGCAGATACTAACAGCTGCATAAACTGCCCAGTGGGACCTGGGAAGAAAACTGTAGACAGGCAGTACTTAGCAGAATAAAGAAGTGAATTAAATAAGAGACTAGACATGAACAAAGGCAGAGATAGAGCTATACATGTTGTTGAATTTGGATCATTTGTCAGGGTATGTGGGAATCTGGGAAGGATTCAAAAGTCATCATTACCTAGAAAACTCAAGGAAAGAAATAAAAACAGAAGAAAAACAAACAGAATTTGCTAAGAAATTAGGGGATAACTACTAAGAATTATATTAAAATCTTTATCATTTGGAAAACAATAAGATGCTGGGAGCTTGTTTAGCTGTTTAATTGGATTGAGGAGTTAGATATTTGCCTAGCAATTGATGGTGTTAGTGGTTACATTCCATGTGAGTAATCCATGTGATGTGTCATGGCAGCTCAGTGAATGAATGAATGAATGAATGAATGGACCATTATTAAATTCTACTTCCCCATATGGCCTTTTAGGGCCTCCTGACCTAGGCAAAATTACAACCAAAGAGGTCTGGTTTTGGTATTTTTCTGTATAACCCTTTATGAGATTCTTTTCAACCTTGTATAGTCCTTTTCCTTTGATTTCTCAATTTATACCAAGAAGTCTCATTTTATGGATAGAATGCATTTCTCTTATACATGTTGCATCCTACTGACTAATAAACGAATTACCTAGAAACTCCTCAGCTGTCCATTCATCAACTCTATACCTCTTCTAGCTGCTGCTTTTCTTGAGTCTCCTCCTATCTAAGGCCAGTCTCTCTGGAGTTTCTATATATCCCTGTCCTCTTCTCTTATCAAGAACTTTGTTCTCCTATACGAGTGTTCATAGCATTATTCACAACAGCCAAGAGATGAGCATAGCCCAAAAGTCCATCAACAGATGAATGGATAAACAAATATGGTATGTATGTACAAGGGAATGTTATTCAGCCTTAAGAAAAGGAAATTCTGGCATATGCTTTAGCATGGACGAACCTTGAAGACTTGATGCTAAGTGAAATAGACCAAACACCAAAGGACAAATATTGTATGATTCCACTTACATGAAGTAACTAGAGTAATCAAATTCAGAGACAGAAAGTAGAATAGTGGTTCCCAGGGGCTGGGGGAGGGAGAAATGGGGAGCTACTCTTTAGTGGATACAGAATTCCAATTTGGGATGATGAAAATATTCTGGAGATGGGTGGTGGTTGATGGTTGCACAACAGTGTGACCATGCTTCCTGCCACTGAACTGTATATTTAATAATGATTAAAATGGTAAACTTCATATTATGAATATTTTAGCACACTAAAAGAGAAAATAGCTTTATTCTCCTTTCTCTTCCATTCCAACCTCTCACACTCTGACATTTCTTCCTCTCACCAAACAAAAGCCCTCCAGTATCAGCCAAATGGAAAATCGCCTGTTTCAACATTCCACCCAAACTCCAGCAATCACCCCACCAGCCAAACTTCTTGAAGTGGTTGTACACACACAGATGCATACTTTTACACTTATCTACCATTCACTCTCAAGATCGCTGTCACCTGGCCTCTGCTCATAGCACGCCACTGAACCATGCCTTCAAAGTGCCAAATCCAGTGAACTCTGGAGTCCTGACCTCGGTGGATTTCTCAATGGCATTTTCACCTGGTGATCATGGCCCCTTCACAGTGCACTTCCCTCGTGTCTCTTATACCGTACTCTCCTGATTTTCTTGACCTCTCCAGCTGTTCTTCTTCTGTGTCTTTTATACACGGCCTCCCCGTCGCTCTATCTGGCCTTTAAATGTTACAGTTCCTTAGGACTTTGTCCTCATCCCTAGCCCATGCATTTGGATTTCCCAAAGACATACTAACATCATAACCATGTTTAAAAGTGAACTTTTGGTCCCTCACCCTTGACCCACCACTTCCAAACTGTTGTCTTCACTTCTCCAGTCCAGGCCACCATTGTCTTTCACCCACACTCCTGAGGCAGTCACTAATTGGCTTTACTGCTCTAACTTGCTGCTTTTGACTTCAGCAACCAGGAAGCTCTTTTAAAATGTGCATCACATTGTATCACTTCTGCTTCAAATGACTTGATTACGCCTGTTTCTCCTCTACCAACTCTAAATGTACCAGTTTCCTTATCTAGTTTCTCTGTCCCTTGACTTACTAAGACCAGACCTTGTGCCACTCTTAGGCTAAACTCCAAGCCTCTCTGACACTTGCACTCCAGGGTCCTTGTCCCGCTTTCCATCTGAATCCTGTGTATCCCCTGTGCTCCCCTTGTTTAAGCGACACTGGCCTTCTTCCACCGCTTGGAATGCACCAGACCTTCCCCACCTCACGCCCTCTGTGTGTGTAGTGTCTTCCTCCCATAAGGCTTATCTCCCATCTCTGCTTGTCTGGACACTCTTACCTGTGCAATCTCAATGTAAATGTCATTTCCTCACTGAAGACTTCCCCAATCACCAATTTCCTATTATTGTCTCTCCTAACACACTTCATAGCATTTTCTTTTGCAACTTATAATTGCATATTTGTACTTGTTTCATGCCCAGCTCCTCCATTAGAATGTAAATTCCATAGGGGCAGTGTCTGGTTTTGCATCCCAATTCAACATCAAGCATGTGTTTACGGCAATGACTGACACAGAGTGATGCCTAATAAACATTTTGTAAACAAATGCATGTATGGAAGAAGAAAGAAGGACAGAAAGAAAGCTAGTTTTCCATAAAGCTGTTTCATGTAGTCTCTGTATAGAAATGAACAGGGACAGGTGTTTTAAGCCAACTTATAATTCATGAAAATCTAAATTTACATAAAGGGTATGTTGAAAGGTGATTTTTCCACTTTACAAAAAGATCCATCATGAGAGTCTTTAAACAGGCTTCCCAGGTACATGGAAAGTAAGATTTTATTGATTCAAACCATATGTTTGCACTGAATTCTGCAGGAAAATATCTTTTATATAAAGCAAGGTTGACCTATAAGCAATTTCCTCAAGGCACCTTGCCCGGAATGGCCAACTCTCAAATTTCCTAGGTAATAGATAATGGGAGGCCTGGAATGCAGGGGATATTTGAAACCCTAGAATGCAAAGCAGTAATTTCAGCCATTTAGAGTTCTTGTGACTTTTCTCACAAAAATAACTAATGGAGAGATGAATCAATGTATTTGAACCTCCCCAACTCCTCTTTCTCTATGTCTGTGAAAGTAAGAAAGGCTGGGAAGTGACCCCCAAAAAGGCTGACATGGAAGGAGAACAAGGCGTACACAGTTCACCAAACTGATGTTTTTCTCCCAACTCCCCCTACCCTCCCATCACGGCTGCTCCTACCACTGATAATTAAGTTGTCTGATTGCAAAATTGGAAAAAAGAATTCAGTGTGTTAATAAATAAAAGCAATTAACTTCTCTGGGTCTCAATTTCCTCGTCTTAACAATGTGGGAGTCCTTTTGAAGATTATTGTTTTATAATTCTGTTCTTGAACCTACCCAAACTTTACAAAATAAGGTAATTTGTGACTGTTCTCTCTGTCTAATGAAATAAATTTCATAGCTATTTCTGCCCTCCTTCTTGGAAAGTTTAATAAATGATCATGAAGTTTAAATCAAAACATTTATATTATTTGTGGAGTTGGTTGATTTGACTATTATTGATGGTTCTTGCTAAGAAGAAAATGCTTTGCAGAATTTACTTACAACTAACTTTTTTTTTTTTTTTTTGCGAGAGAGAGAATGAGAGAGCACGAAAGGGAGGAGGGTCAGAGGGAGAAGTAGGCTGCGGGACTCGATCCCGGGACTCCAGGATCATGACCTGAGCCAAAGGCAGTTGCTTAACCAACTGAGCCACCCAGGCGCCCTACTTACAACTAACCTTTATCAGACATATTCCACTGTGATGAAAACACAATAAGCTGTTTTTGAACTGCAGTACAAGTGAAATATTTTAGCAACAGGAAGGAAAAACAATTCATTGGTTGTGGTAATAAAGATCAGGGTAGACTCAGATATAGGTTAGTTTTGCCCTTCAAAAACAAGACTTCCTTCATCTCAGAAAATCCAAACCTTCAAATTTAGGAGAAATATTTGGAACATAGAAGAAAAACATGCTTAATATCTATGGAATTCTTGGCAACCTTTTTGCCCTCTTCAACTTCCTGAAGCATTATTCTATCCTCACTCCCCACAATTTTGATTTTTTTTGGCCCAATTTTACTATGTTTAGTGACATTTTGAGGGAAAATTATTTCTTTAACTGATGTATGTAAAGAAACTTAGACTCTTCTACATGTGTCTGAAAAGCTAAAGAATGTACACAGGAAAACACACATTATATATCTGCTGCTTTGTAGGTTAAAGAGAGATCTTAACTATGTCAACAAATCTGAATTATATTTGGAAGCTGGTGATCTTCTATTTTGTCAGTATTTTTTCTCTTCCCTAGTCTATAAATGACACTAGGTCATTTCTTCAGTGGGAGAGAGGAATAGATTAGGAAAGAGAAGGGGGACCAGGAAAAAAAAAGACTGGGGATGATGGAGTGAAAATTCATAGTTGATTCACTAAAATCCCTAAATTAAACTGGATACGGCAAAAGAATTGCAATAGAAGCAAAGGCAGATGACGAGATGGCAATGGGGAGGAAAGAGAAAGTTCATGAGCAAGGGTTTGCTCATTGAAATTGTAAATTGAAAAATTTACAGCAGAGTCAAGAGGCTTTGAGGAAAGCAGGGTACTTTGAACTCTGGTAACAACAGAAATATGGGTATTAGCGATACCCAGTGCTGCCATGTAACCAACAACCCCTGCTTTGGATTGAAACACAATCCTAAAAGGACAAATATCTACTCATTTTTACAAAATCTGAAGAAGACCGGAGTTTTAGCTTATGAGTCAGGTCTTCAGGTGAGGAGATTCTGACTCACTGTGTATGTTGGGAGGTTGGGGACAGGGACAGGGATGAGGGGTGGGCAGTCAGTCTGAGCATGTGTAGGGTCCTCAGGTTGGATAGATGGATGGATACATAGATGGATACATAGGTAGTTACAGAGGTAGAGTAAGCAAGCTAAAGATATACACACATAAACACAGAAGTAAAATTTGCAGCTATTTAATAAGAAACAAAAGATAAATGGGGTTTCCATAGTTTGACAAGAATCTTTAACTTAACTGAAGAATATGCATAATTGAGTTACTTTTTCCTGGTTATTAGCAGAGCATCAAGTTACTTTCCTTTTTCATGTGTGTTGATACCAAGACCATAGGGGATTGCTTCTGAAGAAAATACCTGTTGGAGAAAATGCCTGTTACTTAAGAATGTGTCCTAGTAATAACCACAGCTTTATTATTATTATTTCAAATGTGCAGTTTTATTTTCCTAACAGTGCTAAGGAAACACAGTGCTCTTTTAAAGTATCATAATTGCAGGGAACCCTAGTGCATTGTTGGTCCGAATGCAAACTGGTGCAGCCAATATGGAAAACAGCATGGAGGTTCCTCAAAAAATTAAAAATGGATTCAGATGGCCAACAGACATATAAAAAGATGCTCAACATCACTGATCATCAGGGAAACACAAATCAAAACCACAATGAGGTATCACCTCACACCAGTTGAATGGCTAAAATCAACAATGCAAGAAACAACAGGTGTTGGCAAGGATGTGGAGAGAAAGGAACCGTGTGCACTGGGGAGAATGCAAGCTGGTGCAGCCACTGTGGAAAACAGTATGAAGGTTCCTCAGAAAGTTTAAAATAGAGCTACCCTAGGATCCAGCAATTGCACTACTGGGTATTTACCCAAAAAGCACAAAAATACTAATTCAAAGGGATTGATGTTTATAGCAGCATTATCTACAATAGCCAAATTATGGAAACAGCCCAAGTGTCTATTGACTGATGAATGGATAAAGATGTGATAGATATAGATATATACACAATGGAATATTCCTCAGCCATAAAAAAAGAATGAAATCTTGCCATTTGCAATGATGTGGATGGAGCTAGAGAGTATTATGCTAGGCAAAATAAGTCAGAGAAAGATAAATACCATGTGATTTCACTCATATGTGGAATTTAAGAAGAAAAGAAAAAGAGGAAGGCAAGCTAAGAAACAGACTCGTAACTATAGAGAACAAACTGATGGTTACCAGAGGGGAGGTAGGTGGGCGGGATGAGTGAAATAGGTGATAGGGATTAAGGAGCTCACTTGCTGTGATGAACACTGGCTGATGTATGGAATTGTTGAATCACTATATGGTACACCTGAAACTAATATTACACTGTATGCTAACTAATTGGAATTTAAATAAAAACTTTTTAAAAAATGGAACTATCCTATGATCCAGCAATTCTACTTCTGTGTATACATCCAAAGGAATTGAGTTCAGGATCCCACAGAGATATCTCTACTCCCATGTTCAATGCAGCATTACTTACAATAGCCAAGATATGGAAACATTCTAATTGTTCATCAATAGGTGAATGGATTAAGAAGGTGCAGTGTGTGTGTGTGTATGTATACACATATACATGTATAAATGCATATACATATACGCTGTGGAATCTGAAAAACACAAACTCAGAGAAACAGTAGAGTGGTGGTGACCAGGGGTTGGGGAGAAGGGAAATTGAGGGGCTTTTGGTCAAAGGGTAAAGACTTCCAGTTATAAGATTAACAAGTTTGGGATCTAATGTACATCATGGTGATGAGAGCTAATAAAAATGTATCCTATATTTGAATGTTACTAAGAGTAGATCTTAAATGCTCTCACCACAAAAAAGAAATAGTGACTACTGATGGGATGAACTTAGTAGCTAATACTATGGTGGGAATCATTTTGCAACTTAGAAATGTATCCAATCAGTAGTTACACACATTACATTTACACAAGGTTACATGTCCATCATATCTCGATAAAGCTGCAGGAAAAAAATAATGTATCATAATTGCCACTGTGCCCAATTAGCTACAAATATGCCAGGCACCGAGGGTGCTGAGAACACACAAACCCGAGGCTGCCTTAGGAAGATGGGGCTACCTGCGAGAGTGAATGTGGTGTGAAGGAGAGAGGGCACTATAGGAGACAGCCCAAGTTCTAATCCCAGCCCTTCCCTGAACTTGGGTGATCAAGGCCCAAAGTCTCATGTGCAAAATGAGAGTAGTGTAAACTAGGTGTTTGGCGAGGTCCCTTGAAGCACTATCATTATCGAGTCCCGTGAGTTTAACTTCAAAGGTCAGTGTCACTTGCAGCTCTGGAGGCCTGTTTAGAGGAGTTCGGTCAGTTTTTAGTTATATATTAATGGTAACCTTTCAGTTCTTTCATTTCTAGTGAACTAATGGTTTGAGATTTTTACTCTTTAACCACATGACTTTGTGCATGTTGCACAATCGATATCTCAGTGGAAAGATGGAAGGAAAGAAGGAAGAGAGGAAAACGAGGGGAATTTAGTGACTATTAGTTTTGCCCTTTCAGTCTCTTATTTTACTTCATTTTATGCAAAATGATCTTGTACTACTTAGAATAAAGACTTATGGTTTGATGAGTTCAGCTCATAAATATTTTAAATTTACCCCTGAAAGAACATGGTTATTGTTTTTTGGGGTTTTTTTAAAGATTTTATTTATTTATTTGACAGAGAGAGACACAGTGAGAGAGGGAACACAAGCAGGGGGAGTGGGAGAGGGAGAAGCAAGCTTCCTGCTGAGCAGGGAGCCCAATGCAGGGCTCGATCCCAGGACCCTGGGATCATGACCTGAGCCAAAGGCAGACGCTTAATGACTGAGCCACCCAGGCACCCCAAGAACAAGGTTATTGTTAACAGCCATCTCCTCCTTCATGTTTTTCTAGATTTGGAAAGAAGAAAGATGACAGAGGTGGCAAGGCTGAGCAGAAGGGCGCTCTGAAGCATGGCGGCCTAAGGGAAGAAGAGCTGGAAAAAATGAAAGAAGAACGTGAAAGGTGAGCAGAAATGCTGAGCTCCTTATTTTGTTAGGGTCCATGGCCCGTGTTAAATTGGGTTGTTGCATCCATCAACCGGAGAAATTTTATTTTAAGAAGCATAGCATTTCATATAGAAGAAAAGGTATCTGATATAAAAAGGAACCTGCCTTTCTGGGGAATTTTTATTATATTTGGAGAAGAAATTAACTTTATGTTTTTATTAGATCAGTACTTATAATTCCAAAATATGCTACCCCAGTTTCGACTATATCAGTGTATATTTTCCCTATGGTTTAAACAATGAGTTTTTTTTTAATAAAAAGGTCATTTTAATGTTGATGTTTAGAACTATCAAATTTCCATAGTCTGTTCCTAATTTCTGTCAAGCTGTTGTATGCCTTCTTAATTTTATTCTGCTAAATCCATTTGGGGGGTGTAATTTGAGAAGTCCATGTCCTTCATTTTTAAAAAGCCTGTGTCTTTTATTAGGCTATCAGCAAGTTGCAAAGTATGTCGCCCATCTGTTAAAGGGCCGGTTTCATTTACTGAAATAATGACAGTTTGCAAGGGCTGAATTCTCCTGTTTGAGGAGCTTCATGTTCCATTTGGACAAGAGGCCCTTCACTTATCTTTGAGGTTAACTCTGGCACTTACCCCAAGTCGATGTGTAAATGTCTGATTTTGAAACATGTAATTGAATATTCATATTTCTCCTGAAAGTTCTTCACCTGCACAACTAAATGGAGCTTGGAGAAAGACTGAGATTATGACAAAACTAGCATATCATTTTAAGTACTTGATTCTGACTTCACCATGCATGAAGTCACATTTGTCCAACTTGTCACTTGCTTATTGGCAAAGACATCTATGTGGTGAGCCCACATCATAGATCTTTGCTGCTCCCCTGACTTCACTTACTGAGGCACCACTGCCTTGCCTCGTCTTCAGGAAACTGGGCTGTTTGCTAGAATGCAGACTTCACATTTTTTGTATCTCAGTACTTGCTTGGGGTTGGGAGGCTTTCCTCTTAGTAGCTAGGGAACTGTGTGCCAGCTAGAAAATTGATAACCCATAAAATAAGGTGGGTTGTCTTTAAGCAAGAGTTCATTTCCTTTCTCGTGTTGCCTTAAGGAAGCAGGTGCCTGAGGGAGTTTTGTTCTTAAAAGCAGGGCTGTAAATTCACCTCAGCTGGCTCTATAGGCTTCAGGTCCAATTTTCTTAAAATATGTCTGGTCAAAATATTGGAAGAACTGTACTATTAGCCTCTACTTAGGCCACTTCCCACACATGAACACGTAAAACACATCTGAGATGGGTTTCCTAGAGACAATGTTGTCTCAATCCTGTGAGAGAGGAAGAAGCTGGAGGAGTTGATTTTATGGTTGGGTGCTCTAGAATTAATGACCAAGAGCATTTCAGCAGCTCGGGAGCAGAGGGCCGCGGAGGGTAGAGGTGGAGACTCAGCATTTGGCATTCCTCCCAAACCTAGAGTCCCATTTCTTGGCTCTCCGTCATCCATAGGAAACCAGCTCACAACCCTTAAAGAACTCAGTGTGAGTGTATCACTCTTTGTGACATGGCCATGGGAAAAAAAATAGAATAAAATAAGAAACAGTGTATAAAAGTTCACCAAGTGGTCTTTTTTCCTAATGCCTTTAGAATTTGTTACCTTAAGGTGATTCAAGCTGTCCTGTTGCTTATTTGTTTCATCCTAGCTGTCACAGATATAATAGCGTTTCATTCACTTATCCCTTCTTCAAAGGATTTAAAGTACTTAAATAAAATATATTGTATAGTGCTGGAGCCAGCTCGTATCAGCTTGTGAGAAGAATTTTGGGAGCTGGTTGTTAAACCACTGGTGGATTGTCATTGGTCATGGTGGGAGTATTTACACCATAGAAATGGGCAAATGCAGTAAGTTGAGTTTGTTTTTTCAAAAAGCCAGTTAATCAACATACCACTGAGGGTTTATACCAGCTCTATTTACTGTATAACCAGGAAGAAATTATCCAAAATAAAGGCTAAATAAAGAAAGATTCATCCAAGTCAAACCATATGACTTCCTCTGTGTTTCTCAAAGTGTAGTCCATAGACCACCTGTATCAAAAGAAGTCACACGGAGAGCTTGTTGAAAATAAGCACGAGTCCCACACCAGACTTGCAGAATCAGAATCTTGGGATTTGGAGCCCAGGAACCTGTATTTAATAGGCAAGCCCAACATAATTCTTCAGTATTTTAAAGTCTGAGAACCCTTGACCTGAAGGGACAGGGTTTGGTTGAAACATTAAACAATCCTTATCCTATGAAAAATGACACACCGATTTTTTTTCCCAAGAGGATTGGACAAGCCGGTCTAAAAATATTGTCATCTTTCTCATGTGCCCTCTCTGAAGTAGCCTGCCTTACTGGCATATTTTTTTGCCAACAAGAAAGAAACCCTTGCCAGTGCTTAAGAGTAAGCACCCACCTAAGAGTATTTGGATTGCTTACCCCAGTACCACCCATGCACACGGCACTTACAAATACAGTAAATTCATTAAGAAAAATTTGGAGACATAAAAAAGCATAAAGAAGACTAACACGATCGTGCATAATTCCATAACAATTATTAATATTCTTATGATCTTTTTACTATGTATATATTTCCTTTGAAACTTGATATCCATGCTGCATGTATAATGTCTCACTTTTTCAACAGCATTATGTTGTGAGCACTTCCCCATGTCATTAATGTTTTGAAAATATGCCATTTTGATGACTGTCTAATATTCTGTGAGATCAATATACTACAGTATACTTACTTACCTTCTGTTGTCAAACATTTAGTCTGTTTCCATTTTTCACTCTTTCAAATAATACTTTGATGAGCATCCAGATATAAAAGTCCTGATAGATGACCTCTTAAATCATATAGTTCCTGTTAGAAGGTTCAATTTCCTTGTAACTGTTTGACCCGAGGATTAATTTAACCTCAACTCCAAATTTTAGGATTATATTATCCCTCTTCATTCCTCCCATTATTTTTCTTATGATTTCCATATCTCATTTTAATGTGTCTACATATTTAACTCCTGATAAAGAATTGTTGTGGTGCTATATATGAATAACATGTTCATAGCTAGAGCTATGAAAAGGTAAAAAAAAAAAAAAGCCATAAGAATTATGGAATTATGGGACGCCTGGGTGGCTCAGTCAGTTAAGCGTCTACCTTCGGCTCAGGTCATGATCCCAGGGTCCTGGGATCGAGCCCCACTCCCTGGGAAGCCTGCTTCTCCCTCTCCCACTCCCCCTGCTTGTGTTCCCTCTCTCACTGTGTCTCTCTCTGTCAAATAAATAAATAAAATCTTTAAAAA